AGCGGCAGCAGCAGCTGCTGCTGCTGCTGGTGCTGCCCCGGGGATTCCTGGGGCTGTCTGCCTCCCCGCCCCTGCTGACACTTTTGCTGCTGCTGGGACTCGACCTGCTGGCAGCAACTTTGCGGGGCCCATGGGGGTCCCCTCTCCTTCCTCTTTGGCTGCTCCGGGGCCCCGGGGCCCCGGCCTTTCTGCTGCTGCTCCTGCTGCAGCATACTGTCCCCCTAAGTCTCCCCACCTCGCAGCAGCAGCAGCTCCTCCGCATGACCCGCAGCAGCAAACTCACCAACAAGCAAAGGCTGCCATGCAGCCGCAGCCGCACCTGGCCCAACCAATGCAGGGGCAGCAGCAGCAGCAGATGGTCCAGCAGCAGCAGCAGTTCCTTCAGCAGCAGCAGATGCTGCAGCAGCAGCAACGCCAGATGATGCAGCAGCAGCCACAGGCGCCTTATCTACAGAAACAGCCGCATGCACCGGCGCCAACCCAGCCGCCTCCGCCGCAGCAGCAGCAGCAGCAAGTGCTGCAGCAGCAGCCAATAGGACAGATGCCCGTGGGCCTTAACCCTATGTAGCGTCTCTCCTAGCCACCCTAACAAGGCCTTGGGCCCCTGGAGCTGCGTGCATGCACCAGTGCATGCATGCACAACACGCATGCGTGCACCAGTGCATGCATGCAGAACACGCATGCGTGCATGCACTGCAGAACATAGCCCTGCGGGACTGGCACTCTTTGGGGCTTTTTGGCTAATCGCTATAATGCCTTAAATATAAAAATGCTGCAGCTTTAAGGCAGCAGTGGGGGCACATACACAACGGCTAGAAACAGCAGCAAAGCCGTAGGCGGCCCATGGGTTAGGATTTAAACACTTCTCTAAACCCCAAACCCTTAACCCTAAACCCTGTAGAGCTCCCCTCTCTGCACCTGGGCTGTAGGCATCTGCTGCTGCTAGCCCTGAAGGCCCTCAGCAGCTAACTAGGGGCCGCCCAGGAGCAGAACAAGCCACGCGGCTCACTCGGCGTCGCCAGCTAGCTACCCTAGCTAGCTAGCTAGCTAGCTAGCTAGGTGGGTAGCTAGTAGGCTAGCTAGCCAGCTAGCTAGCCAGCCAGCGGGCTAGCCAGCGCATGGCTAGCTAGCGATTCTGACACAGGTCTAGCTAGCGCTCGCAGAGCGAAGTGCACTACAGCTGTCACTTCGCAGCTGCTTGGGGCCAATATGCTGCAACTAGCTGCAGCTGCTGCCCTGACGGGAGAAGCAGCAGGCAGTGGGGCCCCCTCGAAGCAATTGTAGACATCGCCGAGGGACTCTTTACCCCCGCAGAGGGGCCCCAGGGGCCTAACTTGGGGCCCCTGGGGCAGCTAGCTGTGCTGAGACTAGGGGCCCCTGGGGCAGCTAGCTGTGTTGAGACTAGGGGCCCCTGGGGCAGCTAGCTGTGCTGAGACTAGGGGCCCCTGGGGGGGCTAGCTATGTTGAGAGTAGGGTCCCCTGGGACAGCTAGGTGAGCTGACGCTGGGGGCCCCTGTGGCAGCTAGTTATGGTGAGACAGGGTGCCCCTGTGGCAGCTAGCTGTGGTGAGGCTAGGGGCCCCTGTGGCAGCTAGCTGTGGTGAGGCTGGGGGCCCCTGTGGCAGCTAGCTGTGGTGAGGCTGGCCCCCCCAGTGTCCCCTTTGGGCCGCTCCCAAGGGCTAAACACTCCAGTGGCAAATATACTCCCATAAGTGCAAGGGGCCCTCTCAGGGGTCGCTGCCAGTGCCCTAAAGCTCCCCTCACACCCCCAGCTTGCTGCCGAGGGGTCGCAGGACGGGCCCCTGCGGCCAGAAGGGGCAATAGGGGCCCCCTAACTGAACAAATCGGGGACACAGGGGGGCCTCCTAACATGGCAAGCTGTCCCCAGGGGCCCCTTCGGGGCCCCAGGGCCTCTGTGTGTCTGTCTCGTGAGCTCGCTCTGGAGAAGTGATGGCAGCGGAGT